ACAAAGACATGACGGAGCACAGTTCTTGGGGGACACCACCCACAGGCCAGCGTGTGGCCTCATTCCTCTCCACTGGTCTGCTCCTCCTGCAGTCTCCCTTACCCCCACTAGCAGTTAAAACACACACTGGTCCACTTGGGAGCAGTGAGACTCCAGCAGCAATGAGCACACAAAGTGTTGGTTTCTAAATACAACCTCCACAAAAGGGAACCAAGAGCTCCTTGGAGAAATGGCAAATTCTAGGGCTGGGGCACAGAAAGCACAAGAGCCTGGAATATATTATTGTGCCAGAAAGTAAGAAAGTAGTTTCAAGAGTGAAACACAGAAGCGAGCTTTAAGAACGCAACCTAATGGGAAAACCTGGGACAACTCAAGCATCAAAATACCCATGGTAATGATCATACACCATTGGGCAAAACAGGAATCTGAGTTCACACAGATGCACACACTAGAATACAGGAGAATGCGAACTAATAAATGTACAAGAGGTTACGTCATTTGAAAATCACCAATTGGCAACCATTATAGTAATAATTAATCCAGGCAAGAAACATCAATAAACTAAAACTAATGGGCAAAATTTTGATGAGAAATTTACAGTCTCAAAATATCTTCCTATAGGGCTGGCCCCGTGGCTTAGCGGTTAAGTGTGCGTGCTCCGCTGCTGGCGGCCCGAGTTCAGATCCCGGGCGCGCACCGACGCACCGCTTCTCCGGCCATGCTGAGGCCACATCCCACATACAGCAACTAGAAGGATGTGCAGCTATGACATACAACTATCTACTGGGGCTTTGGGGGAAAAAAATAAATAAAATTACAAAATAGCTTCCTATAAAATACTTAATTAAATACAAAGGGACAAACAGTAACTGTCCAGTGGAGAAGCCTGCCAGACACGCCTTTCCTTGAATGATCAAAGTGAACGTGACCAGTGACGGGACAAACGGACACCCTGTGCCGCCCACGGGATGCACTGGCAAGAGTACAGCAGCACTTCTACGCTATTTCTTCCAAAAACGCCTAATTTGAGTCATCACGAGGAAACAGCAAACATAAATTGAGGGACATTCTATAAGACTGTCTCGTAATCTTAAAAAAAAAACGTTCAAGTCATAAAGCTCAAGGCAGGATGAGAAAGAGTATGGATTGAAGGAGACCGACTAAATGCAGTGTTATCCTGGACTGGATCCTTTTGCTATGGAGGACATTACTGCCACAACTGCAAAACTTGGGAGCTGGGTGGGGGTGGGGGTGGCAAATGGGAGCTCTTTGTGCTGCTCTTGCAACTTTTCTGTAAGTTAGAAACTGTATAAGGATGAAACATTGTTAATGCCCTTTGCAGAAATGCAAACATGGTGTAAAAATTATAACTCCAAAGTTAAAGATATAGAAATATTTTACAATTAAAGTAACAAGTAATAAATTAAATATTTAACTCTTCTTCAGATAATTTCCTTAGAACTGGAGACGATGTGAAAATTAGTCAAAATGCGGTCAGACAGGCAGAAGCAGGCCTAACTGACCAAAAAGAAATGTGAAACCCTAAAACAGACTAAAATGCTAAAGTTGTAAAAATCACTCCAGGGTTCATAAAATCATTCAAAAATAAGAACCCTAACCCCAAGCTATTCTAAAGCATAGCCCCATCAGGCCTTCATTCTCATCCAATTTTTAACCAATCAATTTTGAGGTAATTTACCAAGTGTTCTTCTAATCTGCTATTGCAGGCAAATGAAACCCAGCTTGGCCTCTGTAATTTACAGCTGTACACTTTAACAGCAGTTTTGAGACAATTTTGGACCTTGTTATACAGATGGAAGCTGTCAATAACCAAACCCAGGATCCATATCAAACATCCTTTGGGCCTTAGGTGGCAATCCAACAGGCAGTAACCAGTTCTGGCAGACACACGCTTAAGCACGGAAGCCATTCACGGTAGGAAGCCCATCTAGAGAGCTAGCGTGAGGGTAGGACGGAGCTTCCCAACATTCTCATCACAGCAAATACAACACTTGTACAAAACAATGGGGAGAAAAGATGAGGCTGCTGGGGGCTAGGTTTGAGGCCAGCTTCCCCAGTGCCCTGAAGACCACCTCATGGGCTGGGGAGGATTACTATCTATAATTCATTCTGAGACAGGTGGGAAAGGAGGATAAGGAGGGCCTAGATCAACAAGAATGGAAAATTAAGTTTGAGTGAAACACGAGGCAGAAGTCTGGGATGACTATTTTCTAATTTTTGCTCCTGGAAGACAAGTTATGCCATTATCTGTTAGAGGATCCACTGCTCCTCAAATGGTCTCTTAGTGTTTTAAGCTCAATGGCAGAGAACATGTCTCCATTAATTTTGGAATCCACAGCACCACATGAAGCACATTTGTCACTACTGGTGTTTCTTTGGTCCTCCCAGCCTCCTGTCCACAGTGAAGACCCTACTCGAGGGACCACTGCTTCCTAAATCTAACCATACCATGACAGGGAAGGCCTTTTACAACCAACTTGTCACCATCACTGTCTTGAGGTTCCCTAAACATTATTGCAGTGCCGTGTCTTTTCCCTAGCAAATCCAAACCTTCGCTCCCTGCCTCTTTGCCACCTCCCCTCCCACCCCCAAACTACCCACACAGTTCTGGAAACTAGCTGGCAACCCAAACAGGTCCAACCGCTCTACTCCTACGTCTAGTGTTGCTCCCATGCTCTTCTTCCAGCAGTGGCTAAGATGCTGACGACTCTAATCCCAGGGCCCTAGGAGTCCCAGATCAGTCCCAGATCTGTTTTGTTTTGGTTGATTAATCACTATGTCAGGTGCATTTGACAATGTACTTAGTGCTGAAATTTCATTATCTTACCCTAAGAGCAAGAAACAGTGTAGCAACAGCAAAGAATAATTTCAAAGTGGCACCTTGGACACCACACACGCGCTAAGCCAGCACATCATGCACACAATGCTCCTTCCATGACAGTGGAGATGTGGGGGTGATGCTACTCATCTGAAAAGAGCCCGTGATGGTCACACGCAAACCAAACTGAAGCTAAGACCTGAAGAGGCCAAGAATGCCAAAAAAGGAATAAAAAGCACCATATAATTTAACATATGATGGGCTAGTTGCAGTTGAGAACAAGGGGCACAAACTTTTCCTATAAAGGGCCAGACAGTAATTACTTAGACTTCGCAGGCCAGTCTCTGCTGCAACTATTCAACAGCAAATCTCTGTGGCACAAAAGGAGCCATCAGACAATACGTAAACAGATAAGTATGGTTGTGTTTCAATAAAACTATTTATGGACATTGAAATTTGAATCATAATTTTCACATCATAAAATTCTTCTTAACCATTTAAAAATGTAAAGACCATTCTAGCTCATGGACCATACAATAGGCAGCGAGCCAGATTTGGCTCCTGGAGCTAACGTTTGCCAGCCGCTGGCTTAGAAGAACAAAGTGGAACAAAACGGACACGGGAGGTCAGCTGAGAGGACCTGTTGTACCTGAGCCTCATGGTGAAGGAACTCACCAAACTACAGACTCCGTCAGGAAGTAACTTACTCCCTGAAAGTGCTTCTTTGGGTTGAATATTTTATAGCAGTCTTATGCTGGCTGCTCTAAGACAAGAAGTACAAGAAAAATGGAATTTACTAAAATCTCTAAAAGCCCCCATGAACCCTGATTTACATTCCATGAAGTACCCCACCCGTGTTGACGTTTTGGTTGAGAAAACAAACAGGTCCCAATAAAATCCACCTACTGCCTGGCCTCGTATATGCTACATTCACCAATTACTAACGAAACAGAAGCACTGGTGATGGGGTGTTATCAACTTTCAATCTAAGATTCCATACAGCAAAATCACTTAAAAAATGAGAAATGCAATGTTGGATGTATTGAAAATATTTTATAATTAATTCTCTAGAATCCTAGCCATCTAGTACAGGAAAAAATTATATGGTGGAACACTTCAGCATTTTTAAACAATGTAAAGACATATTTGACTAGAGGATGGCAATAAGAATTTAACAAATATAAACTTGAGCCTCCTCACATTTTCCATACAGCAACTTAACAATAAAAATATTTCAAGAAATAGAATACCTCAAATGCAAAATTCCAAAGTCAAATAGCCACTTACATTAAGAAATTTACCAAAACGGTTTGTAAATTATAAGATAACAGCAAAAGGTCACAAAAAGCCTACTTCTTTCATAGTGTCTTGCTGATTCTTTAAGCAGATAAACAAGGTACTGTAAAGAATGGTCAAAACTTGGCCTCAACTGTCTTCCAGTAGTTATTAATCCCACTATTTGTAGTTTTGTTGTCCAAGGACAAAAGCTCCATGCCACCAACTTCTGCTGTCACTTTCCAGAGAAAAGAAGAGGCTGCTGCTGTTTTATTTTTTTCCTTTTTCCAGTTTTCACTATGCTCTGGGCAATCAGGGAGCAGATACAATGTCATAAAATGAATGCGAGTATTCCATGATCCAACCAGAAACGCCACCCCTCTTCCCAACTCATTGCTCTGCCTTGAAAGATAAACGTTATTTACAAATCCTCATTTTATTCTCCTGAGACATTGTGCATGATCCATTATAAAATATACAGGTGATACAAAGTCCAAAGGCCTGCCGTGTTTATGGAATAAACACATGAAGATTAAACTACATGATAACATTGCAGGGAGAAATCATGGTTTCATTTATTTTCATAAGAGACAGGTTATGACTGCATGACATAAAAGCTTAAAAGTCGTCACCAAACTGTGCTGAGGATTATTGCAAGATAATATGCAGGAGAAATCTGTGCAAATTCATCTTTTTAATTCAGTATCAGATGACAGAAAAAAAACAATATTACTTCTTGAAATAGTTTTTGTTTATATTCAGGAAAATAGCTTTGAAAAACTGAACAAGCAGACATCTGCCCCTCTTTATGATCAAATAACTATGCCAGTAAAGGAGATTTCAAAGAAAAAACTGAGATGAAAAAAATCCAAATAAAAGTCAACACTGCTATTACGATTTTTCTTTTAATATGCCATGAGATATCTTGATTGTATATTTTCCAAAGTACTTTTCCAGCCGCATCTCCCAACCCTTCCACAAGATTCTGTCAGTCTTTCCAATGCAATAAAAGATGCTGGATTATACAGTTCTGTCCACTTCTCTTTTTGAAAGCAATATAATCCTAATGACCTTAATGGTCATACACTCTTAACTAATAAGGAAAAACATTTACAAATATCAGAAACCCAGTTTTGAAACATTTGCATTAATTTTGAACTGAATCAGCATTTTGTGGGTTTTTTTTAAAAAAGGCAGCAGTTTGAACTCACGACTTGCTGACAAACACATTTCTGCTGAGGGAAGGAGAAGAGAGGGAGAGTGAATGCTGCGTTTCTCCATTGGCCCCAAAGTGCTAATTTCACAAAGGGATACATCAAAAGCAAACATGCAATGGTGGTTTTAAAACTTTTACTGCAATATAACAATGAAGTAAACAGTAATTAGACACCTACCAATTTTTCCCCAAAACAAACCAAAAAAATGTAAACAGGAAAATAACTGCCTATACTTGTACAGCTTCTCAAATCATGTTCGAAGGGTCTTACCATTCAATGATCAAGAAATTTTAAAATAGCAGTAATTTATTTTCATTTTAAGAAAAGGTTCCCCTTCACCCCTCCCCCACCAAAGTATTTAACATGAAAGAATGGGCTTCCTTACACATTAATTTTATACTTATTTGAAGCAGCAACAAAAACCATCAATAATTTGGCATTTCTGTTTACAGCTGTTCCAAAATTTTTTTCAATTTCACAAAGCCATTTATCCAGTGTTGCCATGAAACAGAGCCTGTAGATTCTAGGTAGCAAAGATTCTTTCTGAAACCAATGTTAAGTCAAAGAAATATAAAGCAGGGCATTACACTAAATTTCTGGATCTAGTACACTATAAAGAGTGAAACCTAGGAAAAGTTACCTACTGTTTTATAGAAGAAATAAAAGACCTGCAAAAGCTGATTTTTGGTTGTATAATATTTTACACACTGTGTGGATTTGCGGCATCTGCTAATTGAAGCAGACATGCACTGTATTTATCCCTGCCCTATAGCCTACGTCCCTCCCTCCCCACCCCCAACAATCTACTACCTTATACCAAGTATTGTGGATATGAGCCCAAATCATCCCAGACAATCCAGTGAACAAAGTTAGTGTAATGCACTGGTGTGAAGTGTGAGATTAAAAAAAAGTCCCTTTCAATCTTCATCAAAGTTTTGCTGTAGAAGAAAATTGGCAGCCAAGTTCTCATTCTTCTCACAAGCAAAATATGCTTGTATCACAAGTCCTTCAGGAAATCCTAAAGCCTTTAACTGGAAGAAAAGAAAGAAAACATGTTATGGATTCCAGCATAGCAATATTGACAGATCATCACTTGAAAACATATAAAAGACATGAAAAAGGTCTTGAGAATTTTATAGGAATTCATCCCTATCTGAATATGGCTTCCCTGTCCAACCCAACGGGCTAGATGGAACCTAGATCCTTTCCTTTAACCACTACCTACAAAAAACTCTTTGCTCCTAGATAAAACTATTAGACTAACAGATACATTATTAACACTCATTGGCATTAACACTAAAAATAAGTTGCTAACTGTGGTGATTTAAAAATAAATGACTCTGGGCTGGCCCCGTGGCTTAGTGGTTAAGTGCACGCGCTCCGCTACTGGCGGCCCGGGTTTGGATCCCGGGCGTGCACCGACGCACTGCTTCTCCGGCCATGCTGAGACCACGTTCCACATACAGCAACTAGAAGGATGTGCAACTATGACATACAACAATCTACTGTGGCTTTGGGGAAAAAAAAAAGGAGGAGGATTGGCAATAGATGTTAGCTCAGAGCCAGTCTTCCTCATTAAAAAGAGGAGGATTAGCATGGATGTTAGCTCAGGGCTGATCTTCCTCACAAAAATAAATAAATAAATAAATAAATGAGCCTAGAGATTTGTAAATCAAATGTCTTTTAGTATATAGGAATGAAGAGATGGAGGAGAGCAACTGGAGATGAGTCTAACTACCTCATCTAATTACTTGTAAAGTCATGTCTTTCGTTAGGGTCAAACATCACTCTCAATCTCCTTGCCGTATTCATACTAGAAAAATAGGTTATCAATTATTAGTTATATTGCATGATCTATTTTGAGATCAAGACATATGTGTTCTATTTTTATCTGCTTAATTTTTATAGGTTTTTTTTTTTGGTGGGGAAGATTAGCCTTGAGCTAACATCTGTTTCCAATCCTCCTCTTTTTGCTGAGGAAGATTGGCCCTGGGCTATAACATCCATGCCCATCTTCCTCTACTTTATATGTAGGATGCCTGCCACAGCATGGCTTGAGAAGCAGTGCGCAGGTCCACACCCGGGATCCAAACCTGCAAACCCCAGACTGCTGAAGCAGAGCGTGCAAACCTAACCACTATGCCACCAGGCCAGCCCCTATGGTATTATAAATGTTGATACCAGCCACTTCATTTCATTTTCCTAGTCTATTAAAAATGATGTCTGACCCAATAATTGCTGCTTTTAAAGACTTTAAACATTCAGGTCAATTATTTAATTCACTAGGTACTAAATATGTGTCAGCCAAATGTTATCTATGAACCTCCTCCTCAACTGTTTCAATTGCCTTGTGTTAGACTCTAGCAAGAAATGACCTAAAAAACTGGGCAAAAGTCCCAATTCAGCATGATTAACTATTCATCCACGAAAGAAGAAACTCAAAAATGATTTTGTTACCTAGGTCTGTCCAGATTATAGCTAGGCTAGCTGAAGTAAAAGGTAGAGAGGGCACGATCCAACTATACGCTTCTACAAGACACATACTTTAGATTCAAAGACACAAATGTGCTGAAAGTAAAAGGATGAAAAAACATATACACCATGCAAACAGTGACAACAAGACAGCTGGAATGGCTTTACTGATATCTGACAAAACAGACTACGATAAAAATTGTTGCTAAAAACAAAGGACATTTTATGATGATAAAACATCATGAAGACTTCATTATAAACACATATAACAACAAACGTGAGCCCCCAAATACATGAAACAAACCCTGACAGAATCGAAGGAAGAAACAGACAATTCAACAATAACAGTTGGAGACCTCAATATCCCCATGTTTACGAAAGGATACAACTAGGCAGAAGACTGACAAGAAAACAGAAGACTCGAGCAACACTATAAACCAACTAGACCTAACAGACATTTGCAGAACACTTAGCAGCAGCACATTACACATCCTTCTCAAGCACACATGGAACATTCTCCATAAAGACCATGTTAGGCCATAAAACAAGCTTCAATAAATTTAAAAGGATTAAAATTATACTAAGTATGTTCTCTGATCACAATGGAATGAACTTAGAAATCAGTAACAGAAGAAAATTTGGGAAATTCATAAATATGTGGCAATTAACACAATTCTAAATAGCCAATAGATCAAAGAAATCACAAAGGAAATCAGAACAATGCAATTTCTATGAATTTTGAGATGAATGAAAACAAAACCACAGCATACTAAAAACTTATGGGATGCTGCTGTAGCAGTGCTCAGAAGGAAGGTTATAGCTGTAAATATCTGTATTAAGAAAGAAAGATCTTAAATCAATAATCTAAGCTTCTATCTTAAGAAACTAAAAAAAGGAGGAGGAAACTAAATCCAAAGCATGCAGAAAAGGGAAATAAAGATGAAAGAGAAAATAAATGAGAGACTAGGAAAACAATAGAGAGAATCAACAAAACCCAAAAATTGGTTCTTTTTTTCTTTACATCAACAACATTGACAAATCTTTAGCTAAACAGACAGGGGAAAAAAAGAAGTCTGAGGATTTAAATTACTTAAAGCAGGAATAAATGTGCAAACATTACTACTTTTTTTAGAAATAAAAACTATTCTAAGAGAACACTATGAACAATTGTACGCCAACAAATTAGATAATTTAGATGACACGGACAAATTCCTAAAAAGACAAAAACCACCAAAGCTGACACAAGAAGAAAGAGAAAATCAACTAGTAATCACAAAACTTCCAAAAAGAAAAGCCGGGCCCAGATAACGTCACTGGTGAATTCTACCAACTGTGTAATGAAAAATTAACACTAATTTTTCATAAACTCTTCCAAACAACAGACGAGGAGGGAATACTTCCCAACTTACTCTATAAGGCCAGTATTACTCTGATACCAAAACCAGACAAAGACAAAGACAGCACAAGATATCTACAGACAAATATTCCTTATGCATATAGATGTAGAAATCCTCAACAAAATATTGGCAAACCAAATCCAGCAACACATAAGATTATACAGCATAACCAAGTGGGATGTATCCTAGGATTGTTAGTTGATTCAACATACAAAAATCAATCAACGTAGTAAAGCATGTGAACAGAAAAGGGGACAAAACCAGCTGATCATCTCAATAAACACAGAAAAGGCATGTGGCAAAATTCAAAACCCTTTTGTGATAAAAACAAACAAAAAACAAACTAGGAATAGAAGGGAATTTCATCCACCCGATAAAAGCAATCTAATAAAATCCACAGCTAACATCATACTTAATGGTGAAAAACAATGTTTTTCCCTAAGATCTGGAACAAGACAAGGATGTTGGCTTGCACCACTTCTATTCTATTCAACAATACACAGGAGACTCTAGATAAGGCAATTAGGTCCCCCACCCCCACCACATAAAAAAAAGAAAAAAAGTTCATCCATGTTGGAAAAGTAGTAAAAGTATGTCTACTTGCAAATGCTATCTTGCATATAGAAGATCCTAAGGAACACACACACACAAATTACCAGAATTAATAAATGAATTCAGGAAGGTTGCAAGATATAAGATCAATACACAAAATTAACTTGTATTCCTAGATAACTAGCAATGAACAATCCAAAAATGAAATTAAGAAAACAATTCCATTTATAATAGCATCAAAAAGAAGAAAAATACTTAGGAATAAATTTAACAAAAGAAGTACAAATTGAAAACTATAGAACTTTTCTGAACGAACTTATACAAAATCTAATGAATGGAAAGATATCCCATGTTCATGTCTTGGTAAGACAGTATTGATAACAAGGCAATACTCCCCAAATTGATCTACAGAAAAAACACAGTATCTATCAAAATCCCAGCCAGCTATTTTTGCAGAAATTGGACAAGCTGATCCTAAAATTGACACGAAAATGCAAGGGATCCAGAAAAGCCAAAACAATCTTGAGAAAGAACAAAATTGAAGGGCTCACGCCTCTCGATTTCAAAACATACTACAAAGCCACAGTAATCAAGACAGTGAAGTATAAACACATAGATCAATGGAACAGAACTGAGAGCCCAGCAATAAACCCTCATATTTACAGCCAATTGATTTTCAACAAGGATGCCAAAACAATTTAATGGGGAAAGAGTAGTCTTTTTAATAAATGGTACTCGGGCAACTGCACATCCACGTGTAAAGGAACGAAGCTGGACTCCTACACCTCACACCATAAACAAAAAGTAACTCAAAATGGATCACAGACCTAAATGTACTAAGAGCTATAAACTCTTTGACCTTGGATTAGGCAATGTTCTCTTAGTATGAAACCAAAAGCCAGAGCAACAAAAGAAAAAAATTTCTCCCAACACATAAATCAAGAACTGATAACTCTAACCTCAAAAGAAAAACAGCTGCTCTAGAACAATTGAGGCAAGTGTCATTTACTCACTTTACAATTTAAGGGTGAAAAATATCAGCATGATATATAAAGTATCTTTTAAGAAATGTATAATTATAAATCTTAAACACTTGATGTGTTTCTATCATAAACAAGGACATATTACTGTCCAGATGATTGTCTAAGTATTATGTTAAAATGCGCTTTATCTGATTTCCATCTCCAAACATTCTGTAAGCTAACACAAGGCAAGTACTGATTCCCTATTTACAAATGTTAACAATGGGGCCCAGAGAGAAATGAACGACTAGTCACAGTACCATAAAAACTAAGTTACTGCAATGCCACAACCTGCACTGGTCGACCTGGCAAGGGCGGACAAAGAATCAGGATACCGGGTTCTGATGTTCACTGCACGTATTTTTTATATAATTCATACACATATCTATTTCACATTTTAGTGACTAAGTAGTGAAGTAAAATTTAAAATATAAATTAAAAAATGGATAATCTTCAATGGGGCATACACTTTAGGATCATTTTTTTCTCCTTGAATTTTAAAACATCAATGAAATTTTCAGTTTCTTAATATATTTAACAACTATTTCAGGCTAGACTGGTATTCACTGCTAGTCCCTTGGCTTCACAAAGGTCAAGACGAGAGAGCAGGGCTGAGAAGAGACTGTCTTCACTGCAATCCTTAGGGCAATGGTCCATTTGGCTCTGTCCAACAGAACTATCTCCCGTGATGGAAATACTCTGCATCTGTGCTATCCAGTGCAGCAGCCACATGCCCCATGTGACCACTGAGCATCTGAAACGTGGTCAGTGTGACTAACTGAATTTTTACTCTCCTTTAAACTCACCCTTTCTATAGCTTCTTTTTCCTGAGGCGTTACTTGAATGTAGTTCATATGACCGCTTCCAGCTTCTGCAATTCCTCCACTGCCACCTCCACCCCCTCCTCCTTGACCACCAGCTTCTTGAACTGGTTCATTTAACATCTGAATAAAATGCTCCTGGTGTTGGCTAATTTGCTGCAGAGATTTGAAGGACAGAGAAAAAAATACATTGATATAAAGTTAGCTTCAGAAAATAAGAATTCTAAATACAAAGAAGAGAGAAAAAGCTGTAACTTTGCAACTGCAATATTTCAGAATGATTCTGGATTATATAGTCTTTGGAAGGATGTGATTTCTTGTAAATTATTAAAGAAACTTCAGTACTTTTGAGCTAGGTAGACAGTGGAGAATTAAGAGAATTCAAATTCTCTTTCATAAACGTTCCACTCCAAAAAAAAATCAATGTTAAAAAACTACTTGGGGACTATAAGAAGACACAGAAGTTATATATTATCTTCCACACTAGTAGGCAGTAGAACGCTGTACAAAACTCCAATATTTTGTGACCTGAGCATTAAATAAGCCCATGGGTATGTTTTCTAAGAGGCAGTGCTCCATTAGTAATAAGCTTGGGAAAACAGATTTAAAAAGTTAAACAGTTTCTCTGCTAAAGAGTTTCTCAGATTCTTTAGTGTTTCCCAAACTTATTATTTGACCAACTTAACCCAACCTCCAACCCCAACTCTTTTTTAGTACATCTATCTAAAGCATGTTGTACTGAATGTAGTTTAGAAGAACACTTTCATAGAGTTGGTGGAGCGGAAGGAGGTGCTCATGGACTTGTTCAAAATGTGATACACTCTAAACCCGCTTTTGAGGTTAACACTGATTAAAGAGTCACCTGAAGTAACTGAGGATTTTCCCGACCTATCTGTTGTAGCAACGCTGGAAGCAGGGAAGGATTCTGCTGAATAATTTGTCTCATCTGTTGAAACTGAGGCTGATTCCGTAAAAATTCAAGGGGATGTCCTAAAATACACACAAACATTTTTAAACAAAAGTAGCAATTAAATTTACAAATAGGGGGTTCAATCATAATTTAGACAGCAAATACTGGCAAGTAAAACATATGATTTGAGTTCTTAGATGTATCTAAAATGAAGTAAAGTGACAAAATCTTCAAACCGCACCAACTAGACAGTCTTACACCGCAGAAAGTATTCCTATTAGCAAAGGTAGAGAGTGCAGAAGACTAAGAATGTTTCCCTACAATTGCTCTGTGTACTCAATATTGTCAAATAATACTAAGAACTTGTGTCCTAATGCACTCCATCAAAATAAAAGGTTTTAGAAGTTGCTCCTGTTGCTCCAAAGTTTCTAAGCAAAATACAGACCAGGACTAACAAAAATAAAAACCCACTTACTTTATAATACAACCACAACCCTCAGAGAAAACAATCTGAGCTTGAATTCCTAGGAAATTCTAAACCAAGTAAGTGAAAGATATTTAATACTTAAAAGGTAAGAGTTCAGGTTTGTAAATCAGACGGAGTTTTATTAGTACAAATTGAATTACAATTAGAAGACTTCTGGTTATTACCATTAAGTTTCAAAAATTTGTAATCTATAAACTTGAGATAAACAAGCTGCAAGACAGTGTAGCACTAATATACTTACAGCTCTTTACTCCACGATCTCTTTACAATATTAAATATTAATAACGGCAAACAAGGTGTAAGACAGAGAACTTGGGTCTTTTTAGGGTGGTGGTACTTGTCTGGTTATGCTACAGAAAACCAAAAATTGCATATAAAAGAATTGTTTTTGAGGTTACTAATGAGTAATGAGAATTTTTTAGATGTATGTTGTCACTTCCTAAATTATTCAAGACAATCATTCAAATTAAAATGACCATATAACACAGGTATTTATCCTTCTTTGTGTAACACCAGTTTTACAGACAAAGAAAATAAGACTTATAAAACTTCTACCCAGTAAGTGCTGCTGCAGGAGACAGCACCCCAAATCTGAAACAAAGCTGTGGCCTCCTCTTTCCATTCCCATGATCAATCTCAAGAAATGAAAAGCCTGTCCTCTGGGAGACTGTCCACAAAGCACTTAGGGATTGTTACCAACCAGAGCTGGCTGCTATAATTAGAGCTAGGAAATGCATCAAAGAATGGCCTCTTCAAAATTAACAGTTCGAATTACTTTATCAATATACAGAAGAATGAAGGAGAACACTAAATAATTCCTGGGCCTACCACAGGCTCCAGGCTTTGCTCTGTAGTCAAACCTTAGGCAATGGAAATGTGGGCTCTGGCCAGTAAAGACACCTGAATTCAAGCTTTGATTTCATCTCTAGACACAAGATTTTAAACCTCTCCGCGTTTTATTTCCTCAGTTGTATAATAACCACCAAGATCCTACAGGCTTTGAAATTATAGACAGTTTATGACATTTAGAGAGAGAGAAAGAGACAAGGTGAGCTAACCATTCTGAATGGCTTCAGAAGGTAACACTAAATGCAAACTGGGAAGCATCTCTTTCTTAGAATAAGCTGAACTGAATACATCCTTGGCCAAAACTGCAGCAATGACGTTTAATATAGGCAAGGATATCTTTTATATCTACTTAGAATTTCTTTTGGGCCCTTCTCTAACATTAATAAACAGATAACTTGTTTTAAGAGTTATCCAAATGCTTAGGGAATAAATCTTACCTCAAAAGTATTTCAGAATAAATTATTTTACACTAAAAGTTCAAGGCGACTTCCTCCCCATCCCAAGATTCCACTTTACCTCCAGAACTTGTTGTTGTGGTCGTTGCTGTCGTGGTTGCTGCAGCTGCAGCCACTGAAGACTGAGGAGCCCCAGTACTAGCTGCTGGAGGGGGGTCAACCACAGCCTGACTTTCTCTATCTCCGGGGATTCCCTATAACACAATTTCCAAGCTTTAAAATATCCTATATTTTAAAATATAATAAGTATTATACACAGCAAAAGATGTATTCATCTACTTAATACCCTTGTCTAATTTCCAAAAGCATCAAACATATGTCTGCTTCAATTAAAAGTAAAGGAACAGGACACATCTAAAAGCTGCATATATTCAAATTAGACTAGAAATGGCCTGAGCGTGGTGTAGAAGAACCCGTACTGCTATAAGGCAGTACTGTCCAACAGAACTTCCCATGATGATGGAAATGTTCTATATCTACACTGTCCAATAAATGACCCATTAGAGCCACAGGTAGCTACTGAGAACTTGAAATGTGGCTAACATTACTAAGAAACTAAAATTTTAATTCACTTTTAATTTTATTACATTTAAATAGCTAGAGCAGGTGAAGACAGCAGCCAAGAAAAGGAGCATCTCCTCTACTGCTCCATGGTCCTGAGAAGGTGTCATCCAGAAAGGATCACATAAAAAAAATTAAAACTGATTATTCAAAATCTACTAAAGTAAATAGGTATAAAAGAACCTTAAATAATTAAATATTTAGGTGATGCTTTTTCTAAGTTTGTAGTGTTTTATCTTCTGAAGTTACTATAACTTAAAACTGCACTAAGACTTTCAACACTCTACTTTGATGCAAATGATTTATAAGACTTCTATACAACTTTTACTAAAGTCTTATGAAATCCTCATAGGTTTGGAAGGAGGAGAATGAAAAAGGAAATATTACATTTGAATAAGAGATGGTATATGCTTCCATTTCCCAATAAATCAGAAGCCAAAGTCATAAACATATAAAAAATGAAGGGTAAGGAATAGCAGGTAATGGCTGCCTACAGGAACTGTCACTACAGGCACTGGAAACAAATGTTTTTGAGTGAGTCCACCAATTCAAACCCTTAGATGAGGCTCTGTTAAGTGCTGACAAATTATATACAAATTGAGGGTCCAAAGCCTCCATCAAATTCTCAAACAGGTTTGTTAAACTAAAAAGTTCATCATCACTGCTACAGATCTACCTCGAATTCTTACACAATTTAGATTTTTTTTAGATCAATATTTCTCCTTTCCATTCATTCACCCTCACTTACATAGAGGTCTCAAAAACTAGTAACACTTAAAGGTAACCGCCCCCTTTTTCTCAGTCTATGAAACAAACAGTAAATATATTAAAAAACACTTTAAACTGTTTTATGAACTTATCTCTCATCTATTCTTTTGTATTTGAGGCTAAACAAGAGTTAGCAACTTTGAAAACAGTGGTTCATTTTTTTATACCTCAAAATTTCAAATCTATTAGAATATCTGATACCATTAAATTTATGCAGAATTCCAAATCAGGTATAAATTAAAGCCATTCTATACAAGAAAAGGCAGTACTTTTATAGAATATGGGTTGTTTTTTTGGGGAAGGGGGATGAAGAGGTAACCACAAATAGATCCACGACAATTATCAATCCAATGATTCCTCGACTCCAAACAAACTGATAAATAAATGAAAGGCCAGCATTTGAAGACTCTTCTCAAGAGGATAACGGAAAAGAGAATTCACAAGATAAAATGATATGCTAAAAAAAGATTTTGTGAATCTCGCATGCAAATGAGTAGGCGAATAACTGGCAAAGGCAGAACACAGTTATTGAAATTACTATGTGAAAAGGAGTTTCTAACAGAGGTACAAGCTGGAAACAAAGCAACGGGTTAAACTGGACTGTATTCCCCACAGTTAGGATCGTGGATTCCTAAGATGATGTTTAGGGCAATTCAGACTTTGATAATACTCCAAAACACCAAAGACAATTACAGAACAAAACGTTAAGATTAAAAAAAAGTTAATCCAACGTCACTCCAAAATTCTAGGCTATTACTTTAGCCTATGCCATATCTGTAAAATGAACATTCTTTGGCATAAAATATCAAGGGTTTCAGTCCATGCCCACAACATCCTATTTCTGAAAAACCTTTATACTAGTAAAAAACGATAACATTCAAAATTCCCTCGACTGCTAATGACTGACTATAAACAAGCTAACAATTCAAATGCCAATGGAACCAGGCAAGTAACAACGCACATTAAATTAAATGCATGCTACTATGTCAGGTAACAGGAAATGGATGGGAAGATAGTAAATTCAAGAGTCTATGATCTAAAATTTTTCCTAAACTCTTGGGAAAATCTGGTATTCAAGTTGTCCAGATCAACCAGATATTGGAATTTTTAAGTGAAATCTCCCAATTTTTAAAAGTTAGCAACTAATTATAAAAATTTACACAGTACAAGCCAAATTTTATTTGGCTTCCAACTTGAAACTTTTGCTCTAAATAGTACATTCAGGATTATGGTGGCAGTCAAAAAAGCTACTAAAATGTTGGATTAGATTAGATTAAAAATCGATCCCCCCCTCCAACACACGTCTGTCATACCTTGAAGATGACATAACTGGGATAGAAGGTACTACTACAAGTGGGAAGCCAATTTTACAACTCATTTAGCCATGCTGTTTTCTAACTAAAACTCATGTATCAAAAATCTTTTAGAAGAGGTTACATTTTATCAACACAAAATGTTAACATACTAAGAAATATAAATCTAGCATATATTATTTTCCTGTGAATTGTTACTGTTCCTTTAAAAATCTTTGTTTCCTTGAGATTTTGGTCTTAAACAACTAGAATGAAGAAAGTAAAATATGCTTCTCACCATTAAAAGATACTCCACTGCTCTGTCAGGGTTGTTGAAACTGGCTCTCAGGGCTGCAATTACTTGCTCTCGTTCATAGCCCATTGACATGATCTCTGTTACCATATTCTCATAAGACTGACCTGTCACTAAAAAAAGGTGTATGGGGGCAGGAAGAGGGGAAAGAAAGGAAACCTTTAATGAACAAACATTCTCCACACATTTCTTGAGTGTATATATGTAGACAATGCTTCAGGCGCCACAGTTCTAGGAATAAAACGATAAATAGGGCCGGCCCGGTGGCTTAGCGGTTAAGTGCACGCGCTCCGCTACTGGCGGCCCAGGTTCGGATCCCGGGCACGCACCGATGTATCGCTTCTCCGGCCATGCTGAGGCCGCATCCCACATATGGTAACTAGAAGGATGTGCAACTATGACATACAACTATCTACTGGGGCTTTGGGGGGAAAAAAAAAGGAGGAGGATTGGCAATAGATGTTAGCTCAGAACCGGTCTTCCTCATCAAAAAGAGGAGGATTAGCATGGATGTTAGCTCAGGGCTGATCTTCCTCACAAAAAACAAACAAACAAAAAAACCCGATAAATAACAGTATAAACTACAATATATATGTGGTAGGTAGAATAATGCCTGCCTCCAATCCCTGGAACCTATAAATATTTTAGGTTACAAGGCAAAAGGAAATTAAGGTTGCTAATCAGCTGACTACAAGGGTCCTCAAAAGTAGGAGGGAAATAGATGAGGGTCAGAGAAACAGATGTAAGGAAAAGAATACGAAAGCAGGGTCAGAGACTCCATGCTGGTGCCTCTGACCACGGAGGAAGGGGCTATGAGCCAAGGAATGCGAACAGCCTCTATAAGCTGGAAAGGCCAAGGAAACAAATTCTCTCCTAGAGCCTAGAGAAAGGAACACAGCCCTGATGTTAGCCCAATGATTTAGTTCCCTGATTTTAGTTCAGTGAGCCTTATGTCAGACTTCTAACCTACAGTACTTTAAGATAATAAATTTATATTATTTTATACCACTAAGTTTGTGGTAACTTATGACAGTGGCAATAGAAAACTAATAGAGTATGTTTAATTAAGTTCAACAGAAATATCATGTACAAATGTAGCACACAAATACAGGACAGAATTAGCAGGTCAAGGAAGGCAACTTGGAAGAAGAGACAGATGAACTGATTTTTGAAAATAAGTAGGAGCAACATTTCAAGCAATCAACTTTCCTGTAACAAGTTCAATTTTCCTTTGACAACTTCTATTATCAAAACAGTGGGGGAAAGGAGGTTAGAAGCTAGAAAAGTTAGAATTTCACATACCATACAAAGCTGGAACAATGTGCCAAGCACTATTATCCCAGGAAGTTACTTCCCACACACTCTCTCCAACTCTCTCTCTCAGCTGAAGACCTAACTTGCTCTTCATAGAAATAAATGTCAGACAAGAAACATACTAATTGAAAGAAAGCCAAACTCTCTCCCACTAAACTTATCTCTACTCTAGTAAAGCCATTTTTTCTTCCACTTATCTTCTGGGTACCATTCCCTTTCTTGTCTCCTCAAAGAATTGGACTCTTTGGTGCTCCTCTCTGGTGTCCATCTCCCACCCTTCCCTCTCCATTTAATTATCCCGATCAGCAGTTAAGTACGTCCTGGTATGTCATCCTAACAACAAAAACATGCCTCCCTTGACTGCATCACAATTCTTCTTTCACAAACTGGTCCATCTGCTCTCTTTCCTTCACAGCCATAGTTGTAGGCACATGCTGTGTCCACTTCCTCACATTCCACTCACTCTTCAACCAATATCATTATGTGACTTTGGATATCTAAAGATTTTCCCCTCAAATGTGTCCCATCATTATCTGCCTTCTCCATTTCAATAAACCTCTATCCATCCAAGTGCTTGAATCAGAAACCTCAGTGATTTCAATTCCCTCTCCTCTCCTTCCACAACTAATCTACCAGCATATCTAGTAGGCCCTGTCTCCCAAACCTATCTAGTTCCTTCTTTCTCTCCCACCTTCAATCAAGACCAGCCCACAATAATTTCTGATCTGGAGCACATTCTGCTTCCTCTTCTGCCCCCAAGCCTACAATCCATTCTTCAGCCAGTTGCAAAGGCTTTTAAAAAAGAAAACCTCATCTTATTTCAGGATCCCAACCCTCAACAATCCTCTACACACCACACTCCAACCACACTGATATTCTCCAGTTTACTTCACAAGCGATACCGTCTCCTGCCCTGGAACCTTTAGACCCCAGGCTTTTTTGATGGTCAATTTGTTTACATGCTCCAGTTCTCAATTGAAACGTTACAGTCTCAAGAGAGCTACTGCCTAACCATCCTAAGTATAAGAAGGCTTCTGTTTTTCTTTATGGAAGCCATTAGTTTTCTCAACATAATTTATTATGACTTGCAATTTATTTTGTTTCACCCTTTTTTCTTTCCCCCACTTGAATGCAAGGTTCAACCGTGCAAAGAACCATGTCATTCTGCTTCACCATTTCTCTGACACATAGGTGACAATATCACTTGAATGATTTTTTTCTGTAGAATTTTCAATAAAGGTACTTAATAGCTATGAAAGTATAGCTTTAAAAACTAAATACCACTGAGCAAATCTGGCATTTGATCTCATTTAAAGTAATGTCTTTTTCTTACCTGTTAATATAATTTTATTTTCTTAATTACCCACTGATATAATTCTAGCATAAAGCCATTCAAGTAGCAATACACTTTCAGTAATCTAGTTCCCAGATACAGAAATTAGCATCAATATAAACAAAATTAAGAGCTGTGGAGTATCAGAACCACACTATTTTAATGTGGTGTCTCTCATTTAATTCCCACAATAATTCTATGAAAAATGTTTATATTCCTCTCCCTTTAAAATGATGAGGCTGAGGCTTAGAGAGATTAACAATTTGATCACAGTATCAATGTCTGGTGAGTCATGGTGCAGAGACACAAACACAGGCTGTCAGACTCCAGAGCCCCCACACCTAATCATTATGCTATGCCTCCTAAAATCATGCTTCCTAATTAATCCAGTTATAGAAACTCAAAAAGAAATGTCTATAAGTAGCCTGATACTTTTTAGAGCTTAAAAGTACAAGAGCAAATGACTTACAGGAAAACTAGAGACAATGGATAACGTGAGACAGAGCTAATGAGGCTAAAAAAGTAGTGATGAGAAACCTTATATATATCTTAAGAGTGACTTTGGACTTATCTTCCAGGTCACAAGGAGCTATGAAAGGAACTAACAATGACCTCATCAGATTTTCCTTTTAGAAATTCCACTCTGGCAGGGAACAGACCAGTTAGAAGAGAATAATGCAAGAGCACCAGTGAGGTAAGCACATGAACTAAGGCAATTAAGTGGCAGTGGAAAGAAATATTCCACAGACTTCACGAAGGAGGACCAATAGGACTCCTGGGCTCACTGGGTCAAGAATGATGCCAATATTTTGGCAGAAGGTAGATGATGATGCAAACAAGGAAGGGAACAAAGGAGAAGTATCAGATGGGGGAATAAAAGATGAATCAATCTGGAACCTAAGGAGTTCATGGAGGTTGTAGATTTTACAGTTGGCAGTTTTGAAGAAGTTATAATTTTGGGAATCCTTATAGTATATGGGTGGTATCTGCCATTCGTATAGTTTGAACTTTGAACTACAGCCTTGAGAAGAACCACAGAAAACTCATATATTTAAGGGCAAGGTAAAATAGAAAGAATTAACACGAAAGCCTGAGAAGGAATAGTCAGAGGTACAGATCAAGAAAAGAGCAGTGTCACAGAGCCAAGAAAGGAAAGTTTAAAGAAGCAGGGTCTCAACATCAAGGCTGGGGAAATTAAAGAGTAAAGAGTAAATGGATCTTGAGATCATAAGGTTGAGAATGGCTGTTCTAGGAGATACAAGATGTAAAGGTTAAGATAGCAGTATCTGAGGCTTCGGTGTCACCGCAGCAGCTAGAGCTGTGGTCTCCCGGGCTCCTGCGTGGCAGCGGCAATGCACTCCAACTGAATGAAGCAGCACTGGCGACAGCCAGAGCCTTCGGTGGCATCAGGGGCAAGTGTCAGCTGGAACCATATTGGCCCTAAATGCTATAGGCAACCAGTATTCCATTTCCCATGGCAATGAGGGCATCATGGAGTTCAAGTCCAACTAGGGCAGAGGGCTGACCTCAGATCTTAATGAGGTGCTACTGCTGCAGCTGCTAAGCAGGAATCCAGACGCCTGTACTCCACTGAAGCTGCTCTTCCCAGTCTTCTACCTACCTACCTACCATTTCCAATAATATAGAAGAGTACCAAAGGGCAGGAATGGGGTTGCCAGCCAAAAGACCTATTAATTAGCAGGCACAGCAGAAACCATACTACAGGTGTTTTTTTTGGGTGAGGAAGATCGGCCCTGAGCTAACATCTGCAAATCTTCCTCTTTTTTTTTGTTGGCCCTGGGCTAACATCCATGCCCATCTTCCTCCACTTTATATGGGAGCCGCCACAGCATAGCTTGACAAGTGGTGCGTCGGTGCGTGCCCGGGATCCAAACCGGCGAACCCCAGGCCACCGCAGCGGAGCGCGTGCACTTCACCGCCTGCGCCACCGGGCCAGCCCCCATAGGTGTTATAATGGGAAAACGGGGAAAGAAACAAAATGATTTTGACAGATTAGCTGTGAAGGGGAGATGGAAAGACATAATTCAATAGGTAAATTAAAGAGTTGGGATAAAAAGGCATCTTCACTACAAGTACTTTCATAGAAGCGACAAGATGTGAAGATGTAGATGGGAACCTATAGGGCTATAAGTTGGAATAAAAGCTGGAGGTGAATAAAGATCAAGTGTGAGACAGATTTAGTAACATTTTATACTCATTTTAAAGACACTTCGTAATAAATCTGTAAACAGATCAAACTTTGTTAAGACCTTATTTAAAATTCACATTTGGATAATGGAAAATTATTTGCTTTAAGGAAAGGAGTATGCTTAATTCTAACAGCACAATTTAAAGGAGTCAATATATAAACATTAATTTACAAAGTCTTTAGCAACATTATTAATTGAATAATTAATCGAATAATTAAATCATTAGCAGCCTGATTATAAGCAATCATGAAATGAACACATTTTGGTGATCCAGAAAAACGAAGTTTAAACCTCTCCCCTATCATATAAGGTTATTTACAACGTAGATACTTACCAAGTGCACTTGTTGCATCTTCAAAAAGGTTTGACCGAGAAGCATCTCCTGATGTACTGTAAAAGGTTTTTAGAAAATCATATATCAGAAAGTATGTAAAATTTACATTAAAGTTGAGTTAACTGTCCCAATTTGTAAAGAGTCTTTGATTTTAATTAAATGTAAGTTTGGCTACAGTGTTTAAACAGTCTTCTAGACTAAACCCCAAAAGCTTTATCCATAAGCTTGGGAAGTATGGCTTGGGAAGAAATTTCAATCTTAATACTCATTCTATTCTGAAAATCCATCATTTTAAACGTCCAAAGATATAAAATAACATCCTTACAGAGAGCTTACTACTTAAGGAATACAAAAAGGACAATACACAACTATTTCGAGGAAAGAATTCACAGGAGAATTTAAATAATCTCCAAGTCACGTCACAGTAGAAGAAATATCAAAAGCAGACATGATAGATGGTACATGCAGAAACCGCATGAGGCTGGAAAGGCCCAGGAAGTCTTTACATAGTGGAATTTCAATTAGATCTTATAGGTAAGTTTTCAACACAGAAGCTGAAAGAAGGTGGCATTCAAGTCAAGGAACACATAGCATAAGCAAAAAACGCAGAGGTGGTATAAATCCAAGTTGTAACCCAAAGTAAACCAGTTTAAAAGGAGTAAGTTTCTGTTGGGGAATTGCAGAAGATGAGTCTGGAAAACAAAGTAGACAAAAACAAGATTATGAAAGACCATGAAGAGTACGCCAAAGAAAAATAAAACGAAGTTTACAAAAGTGGTAAAGGTAGCAGTTAGTAGTTGAGATTAAAACACACACACAACACGCACTTATACTCCTGCCCCAAATTAAAAACAAAACACAGCAGACCAGTTCTGAGAAAACCCTGTAGCACAGAAAGAGCAAGGGAACTATCTAAGTTTGGATTCATAAATTACTTTCTCAGCCTCAGTTCCTTCATCAGTACAATGAGGTCAACAATAATATCCACATATCCCAAAGAGTTGTGGGTAGGGTTACTGCTGGTGGTGCAGTGCCTGGCATCGTGACACCCACTATGACTATGATTAAAACAATCTGTTGGTATATTTTTTAAAGTAACATCATTAACTTCATAGTGAAACTAACGTGTAGATGACAAAACATACAAAAAAAGCCACTATATATAGGAAAACTAAGTCTCCTGCCCAAAACCCCTAGCCAGAGACATCACTACTGCCGGTTTCTATATAACAACTTGTGTCTTGCTTTAGTGTGTGTTCTATTTAACAATTATTCCACGTCAGCACAGCCACAACCGCCTCAATTTTTTCCCATAGATGCACAGTGTTCCATTTAATTGACCAAATCAAGCTCTTATTAAGGAATATTTAGTTTGGTTTCCAACCTTAAAAAATTCTTTCCACAGTCAAATTTATCAATTGTTTCCTTTTATGACTTTTTTGGTTAAGATTATTTTTATTTTCCCACATTCTCCTCTGGTTTATAGCTTCACTTTTACATTAAATCTTTATCTATTTAGAATTTATTTTCATGAGCCTAAGTAAGTGATCCCTCTTTTTTCCCTCCAGATTGATAGGCATTCATCCCAACAGGATTTTTCCCACAGCGGTCTGAAATTACATCTTTATCTTATATTAAGTCCCTGTATGCATTCTGGTCTGTTTCTAGACTATTGTCTATTTCACTGAGCAATCTTTCTAGTAAGAGTTATATTAAATTGTTGTAATCATTACCATGTATAATATATTTTACTATCCAGTAGGACCAGTCTCCTTCGTTACTGTTCTTTTACAGAACAATTTGTGCTATTTTTGCACATTGTTTTAAAATTTCTTTTTAAACATTACAGATAAGACTGAGGTATCGTTTAACCACCATTCTCCAATCTTGATTCTGCCTCACCACTTCTCCCCTCCCCATCTGCAGAGGAAACCACTTATCAGTGTGTTGTCCTTCTGCTACTGGTTTTCTACACATTAACATATACCGAGAGAAAATATACCATGTTGTTTTGTGGCTTTTGTTTAGTTTATGGTTCTTGCCTATATTGTTTTGTCATTTGCTTTTTTCACTCAATAACAAAGCCTTGAAACCACATTAGTTTAATATGCATATATCTGCATACTTTAACTGGCCTGCATACTTTAACTGGCCTGCAGTATTGGTTATCAGGGCTTCTCAAACTTTAGGAAGCCCAAGAATTCACCAGGAGAGCTTGTTAAAATACAGATTTCTGGGATCCACCCCCAGATAATTCTGATTTAGAGGTCTAGGGTGGAGCCTAAGAATTCATTTCAAACTAACTTCCAGTGATGCTGGTACTGCCTGCTGACTACTACACTCTGAGCAGCATTGTTCTCTTATATGAATAAACCACAGGTCAAGTCATTCCCCCACTAATGGATATTTAGGTTGATTCCAATTCGTCCTCAATTACAAACAATACAGTCCTTGTGCACAAGTGCAGTTTCTCTAAGGTAGATATCAATAAGTAGAATTTGCATTTTAATAAGTGGTTTTTAAAAAACAATAATGTCCTAAAGAAACAAATCCCTAATAATGAAATATCAGGCCAGTGGTGATGGACAAAGTTTCTGCCACTCCTCAAATTCATACCAGCACATCTCCTGATAATTATCTCACTGTTTTATGCTTTACAGGACACTAAATGTTTTAAAGCACAGATGAAGGGACTAAGGCATACTTAAGTAGTTTGTTTTCTGAGATTCTCACATCCTTCCTTTCCTGTGTTACCCTTCTTTGAGGTATATAATTTTGGGAAATAAGAGTATATAGTTGGCATACAAAGCCCAACTAAGTAAGCGACTCTGGCGTCTGCTCTTCTGGATCACTGACCATCAACTCATTTACGCAAACTCTATAGGTCTGAAAAGGTAATCTGGACTCTTGAGAATAGGTAAATAACACTGTACCCCCAGGAAGAAATAAAAACAGATAATAAATAAATCTGAATTGATATTAGCACATTAAAATATATCGATCAATTCTGAAATTCTCACTATGAGCTTTTTAAGAAGCTTAAAGCATTTAAGAAAATAAGATATACTGCACTGACTCAAGATTTATTTAATTAACTTTACAACGTTTAAATGCTTTGGGAAACCAATTTGTTAAATTTGTAAGTTCCCCTCTATACAAAGGATTGACCAACAGCCTTCTGATGTAATAGCTTAACCTGACTCTGGGTTGTCTGCTACTAGGTAACAGTGTTGAAGGCATTTCTAGCTATACATGGGAGAAGGATCAAGTTAGGCAATGGTGTCTCAGAATGCCTAAAGTAAAGTGTAGCAGGCAGGCATGGGGAAAATATTTTATTAACTGAGCCTATGCTCTCTTCTTAGGGCATCAATTCCTTGGGAAGACGCCCCGAGTGAGCCATGAACCAGGTGACTCAAATCCTTCCAAACACGGCTGACTGGGTCAGACACAGAAACCGCACTTAAAGGCAAAATACTAAAATGAAGGATGATCATGACGACATTCTTTCTGATCCATGTTGTATTTATCACAAACATCCTTCCATGTCAGTAAGCAGCATCAATTGCTGCGTAGGTTTCCATGTGTCTGATTCCACTGATTCCAAGGACTCTTAACTACTCCCACTGAGGTCTGGAGTTGCAACTGAAGTCACAAAATACAAACAGCTCCAGTGGCAGTGCCCACTGGACATAATATAACTTGTGCTCTCAGATAAAAGAGAAATTACCTTGTACGATTTCCAGCCAAGAGAATTGAAGCATTTGCTTTGGTTATTTTATTTATCATCGGGGAAAGAAATCTTTGAAGATCTACACAGGCAAAAGCTTAAATTTCTATGCAAGTTCACAAAGATATAGATAAAACAGTGAAAAACTGAAACAATTCACATGTTCAACAAAAGGTGGTAGGTGAAATATCCGTAATAGCTGATACTTACTCTGCACTTATTGTGTGCCACGTGCTATTTCACATCTTTTACACTCATTATTTCATTTAAGCCTTATAACAACTCTATGACATAGGAGGTCCTATTGTCATCCACATTTTACAGATGAGGAAAAAACCCAAAGATGTTAATTACTTTTCTAAGGTTAAGAGCTAACAAATGACAGACCCAAACACAATGCTATGCAGCAAATGAAAATATTTACTGACATGGAAGGATGTTTACGATATATATGACAATGATCAGAAAGAATACAGATCAAATATAAATAATGATTTGGAGCAATGTCACATTATTTATATGTCAAGTTATTTTACAATTCTTTTTATTTTTGGTCATTTGTATTTCATGACTTTTGTACGCAAAATGAATAACAACTTTGACTTTCTTTCCTTTCCCTCTGGGGGAAAAAAAATGCAGAGTCTACAAATCTGGATTATGGAAACTGAAACAGACACAAGCCAGAGTTCAAAGTTTAGAAAAAATTTAACATAGTAGATAAAAAGTTAGTTTGATCAAAACAATAATCAAAATAAATACATGCATGAAGTTCTTGTTATAAACATATTTTGAGATACAATTTCCTAGAATTCAGTTCTTACCTGTCAGTTGATGTTGGGCTAGTAGCCACTGGTGTTTCTGCTGGCTTTTCTGCAGGTTTCTCTTGTTTTGTTGCACTAGGAGGTGCAGGTTCAGAAGATGCTGTCGTGGATACTGGAGTGATGGACGCAGGTGTGGGAGTGGGAGCCAAAGCAGGGGCGGGGGTTGGGGCCTGAGCCACAGCTGGTGCTGTAGAGGAACTAACTGTGGTAGTGGTGGCAGGATTTGATTGCTGAGTTGTAGCTGGTGCTGGTGTTGTCACTGCTTTGGGCTGAACACATTAAAAAGCAAAATAATGAATTATGATAAAATACTACATTATTACCCGATCTCTAATTGGACTGTATTATTACATGATGCTACAAAGAAACATAACATACAAACCTGTAGCTTGAAAACAATTTTGTAAAGTGACAAATGATCAATATTAGCAATCTGAATCACTGTAACTCTTTCAAAGCTGACGAAAGCAGACATATTATCTTAACTATCAACCTCTATTAGCTTTACGCAACAGTTTCAGTCTTCACATCGAGTTAATATGAAAAAAAAACCAAAAGAAGCCAATATTTAAAAATATACAGAATGCGTATCCAGAAAAAGAACCACATAAGCCCCCCCCCATAATTTATAATTTAAACTCTTTGGCTATAATTTTATTCATTGTCATTTAAAAGTATTACCAAAATAACTTTCTTATAATGGAAATATAAATAGAAGTATGATTAATGAGTATGCCAGATATTCTGTAGTATTTTAGAGATGGGAGGAAAATCCCAATATTGAATACAAACTAATAGGTATAAGAACAAAGAGGTTGACTTAACATTTTGAGATGTATATGTAGTTAAACATATAGTTACAAATAAAGGCAAAATAAAGTTATGACTACACGCTTAGCATTTTCTGAACTAGAAGCAGAGCCGAAGAGGTTCCCACAGAGCAAAAAGCAATTACATACCTGTAAAATTCATATTATATGAGTTTTATTCTTCTCATAAGGCTTATCAATACTCACTACCTGTTTAGCTCATAACTTTCCTAAGAACAAAAGGTAACTTTTGATGGAAGATGGGATTAAAATTCAACATAATTTGCCCCGAGTATATATCAACAAACTGTAAAAGCAGTGAGCCAACTTCTGTCTTGTTTGATTTGAGCTAGTACAGAGTGCAGTGGAAAAGAAGTGGCTAGTGCAAGGTAAGGGGAGGGGCTTTAAAAATACTAGCAGCATTCTCTCTCTTCTCTATTTCAAGTCTTATATTTAGCTCTATAACTTTCTTAACTGCCAATATGATACTCCGCAAATTATTAATGTTCTAAAATTCCAATCTGGATAAAAATGTAATTTAGATGCATTGTACACCTTTAATATTTCCCTTAAGATTATCTGTGATCAATATAATATCCCAACAACCATGCCCTCAAGGTCTCTGTTGCCACAAAAAGCTAGTTAAGCCTCATTCTAAATGGTACCAAACCCATCTGCTTCTTGAAGTTTTTCTGCTTACTTGTGATCTTAGCAGCTTTTTCTTGTCTCTTCTTTATAATAAGGTAATTTCTCATTGCTTCCCTAATGCCTAATTGTAGCAGTTTTCTTCCCCTTCTAACAGCTGGCCTCTACTACCCACTTAAAAATAAAACCACGAATATTATTAGGATCCTATGTAAAATAAGAATAGGCTTAGCTCCAAGTAGCTATTCTTCAAATGCATGCACCTATTCTGAGACCTATCCTGCTTAATTCTTAGTTATGTTCTAAACAGTCAAAGTTACTATAATACTAAAGGAAATAAGACCAAAAACAAATGCATATCCAAATGTATGGCTACCATATTTTCCACTGTGTACTATGTATGATAAAATTAGATGAGATAATGGAATATTATTCAGCCCTGAAAAGGACAAAAATTCTGGCACATGCTACAACATGGATGACCCTTGAAGACAGTACGCTAAAGGAAATATGCCAGTCACAAAAGGACAAATACTGTTTGATTCCACTGATATGAGGTACCCTGAGTGGTCAAATTCATAGACAGAAAGTAGAATGGTGGTTGCCAGGGGCTAGGGAGAAGGGAAAATGGGGAGTTACTGTTTAATGGGTACGGAGTTTCAGTCTGAGAAGATTAAAAAAGTTCTGGAGATTAATGGTGGTGATGGTTGCATTACGTGAATGTACTTAATGCCACTCAACAGTATACTTAAAAATGGTTGAACTGGTAAATTTTGTGTTACGTATATTTTATCACAATTTAAAAAAAACTAGATGAAAAAAAAACTAGATGAGACAAAGTTTCCTTATATGATGCTGTTCCTCTGTATTTAAAGCTTAACATTTAATAAGTGCTTAAATATAGCAAAATCAATATGGCTTTTAATGGATTAAAATTTTTTAAGTCCAACACATGTCAACTGTTTAGCTGCTTTTTATTTCTCAGAACAAAAGTACACAGTAGTTAAAATTTATTTGTTTCACTATTTTCTACTGCATATATCAATTATTTTGCAACTTAAAAAAAAACCCCACATTTATTCTACTTTTGGTCTCTGATACACTGGTTTCAATTAACTATTTAAACTTATTTCTAGGGCCGGTCCGGTGGCGCAAGCGGTTAAGTGTGCGCGCTCTACTGCGGCGGCCCGGGGTTCGCTGCTTTGGATCCCAGGTGTGCACTGATGCACTGCTTGGCAAGCCATGCTGTGGTGGTGTCCCATATAAAGTGGAGGAAGATAGGCACGGATGTTAGCCCAGGGCCAGTCTTCCTCAGCAAAAAAAATAAAAAAATAAAAAAAATAAAGGAGGAGGATTGGCAGATGTTAGCACAGGGCTGATCTCCTCACAAAAAAAAAAAACTTATTTCTAGAGCTACAAGTAACACTGTTCTTCTCAGATTATAACAATTCAATCCTAAAAATTTATGTTGAGTACCACCACTTCTCTATTTGTCTTAACTCTTCACTGCTTATATATCTTTAAACAAGTATATAAATAAAACGAAATCTCTGAAAGAACCCATATTCATTCTCTGCTTTAGAGAAAAACTTTGACTTTTATAAATTGTTCCAAATATTACTTCTGTTAAAAACTTCTTCACAATAATCATTCCATCATTTCTTTAGCTGTCTTTTCCTGTTCTTAGTTTCTGAAAAATCTATCACATTAACTAAGGAATAGCACTGAAATTATGAATCTACATGCCTTTTCTGCCTTAAGGAGTTTGTCAGGTCTTGTACATAATTCAGCAAGTCCCTTTAAGGCAGCCTTATTAAAAACTACAAAATAAGAAACATTTATTCAATTTCTAAGAATCACATTTTCTAATAATTCCATAATTAGTGATTTTACTACTCCAGCAAAACCTAACACAATTTTCAACATTTATATAAAATTGTTTTAATTTTTATGTTCAAACTACAAATGTATAAAACTATTAACTTTATGGTTGACCCAAGGAAAACTGTTAAAACCTTTAATAACAGTTAAGTGCATGCCATTATGGATCTGCGAAAACTGTGTTCACTGAAAAGCGTAAAGGCTGCACTTTGGGTCATTATTTTTTAAAAGACTTGCAGACATCAAAATATACAGAACGAGGCTGAAACTTACTTTTGTCACCATAACCACCACAAAGTTTTTCTCATCAATTTTATATTCTTTTAGAGCAGTATCATCATTGAGGATTTTGCCTAATTCATTAAGAGAAAAAACACGTTATTTAAGGCAGAGTAACCTTTGCCTAATACATAACTGAAGTTAAAACAATCACCAATGGCAATTCTATCAATCAATACTTTCCCCAAAGAAAAACATTAACCAATCAGCCAAGATAAAGACAAATGTAAATGGAAACATGATTAGTTAAAAAAGCATAAGCATTTGACTAAGATATCAAACATATATATTGTATATAGATATCACAAGTAATTCTTAAAAATTATTACTACTAATAAAAAGACTTGCTGGGTAAGGAAACATTAACTAGGTCTTGAGAAAGGGGAGATCGTGAAGACAAATTTCAATATTGCAACTGCCCAGGGATCCCCCTGGGGAATAATCCATAATCTTTCTGATGAGAAGAAGGAGAAAATAACAAACTTTCTGCTCCCACAAATACTGAATATCTGGCAAAACAGATATTTCTGGAACAGGATTATTCCAATGCTATGAAAGTGAGACACTCATAATCAAAAGTCCTTCAGAAAACGACTTGGTACACAACAAAAGGCAAGATGGTACAGAACGGAGTAAGTACAAAGGAGTACACAAGGTTTTGATCATGCTGAAGGTCAAGTGTTAGGTCAGGATTCCTTCAGGTTTCCTTTCCCTTGAATTTAGTTTTCCATTTTTAAAAAGTTATTGAATCAAAAGCTGCAAGCATTAAGCCAGGAATAGAGTAGCCACTCTGCATAGAAATGAGTAAACAGGCCAAGACTAGGAACCAGAAATTCTAGTTTTATGTCTGCCTCCTTAGGCTTCTGATTCCTGATCATGGGGCTAGCGTTTCCTCTAAACCATCTCACTTTAGAAAATACTACAAAATCTCTATCTAGGAAGTCACAAGAAACCACGGGCAATCCAAGACCCACCTTACTGTCATCTACAATGACAGCATTGAGTGTTTCTTTTGAAGAACAAAGAAAAGAATTTTCCCCACAAAATTCGCAAATCACGTCTATTTTAACATACATTTTGCTGGTTACTAGCAAAGCTAGCTAAATTCGCAATTTCCTATTCATATCCTTAGTTGGTTTTTTAATTGGGTCATTCTTCCTTACTAATTTCTAAGAGCTTTTTATATAATCTGAATATTAATCTTTTCCTGTCACTTATTTATAGTGTCTTTTGACATATAAGGTTTTCTATATTCTTCAGTCAATTTTGGTATTTTATTTAAAGAGAAGATTGAATATTAATATATTCAAATAACTGCTTATTCACTGCTTTTATCTGTACAACCATGTTTCTGACAGCATCAATTTGTATACACTACAATTTGTAAGATGGTAATTTCTAAAACTAAAAGAATGTCACTGCAAGCAAGAAAATGGCATACTAATTTCAGTATTTAATTCATACCTGCATAAATTAATTTTTGACCTGCTACAGGAAAGGCATCTTTCCCCTTTTCAGACTCAATCTTCTCCTTCAGTGCTTTCACCTATAGGAAAAATACAGATTTTTTTTGAAAAAGTGTAAACAACAAATGACAATCCAGAATCTAAATAAATGATGCAAGATAAAATTTTATATATTTTAATTATTGATGCTTCCAAAAACTTAAAGATCATGTCTTTCCAACATTATTATCAAAAGACTCATTATTTAACCTATATTATTAGGTATGATAGGTATAAACTTTGTTTTACCACCATATGTTAAATATACATAGATTAAAAAAAACTTTACCAACTGACTTGGTAAATCTATTCAAAATAAAGGCTTCACATCAAAAAGTTCTCATTCTCATTATAAAGTTTATGGGCTTCTTTCTTTCTTTCTTTCTTTTTCCCCCAAAGCCCCAGTAGATAGTTGTATGTCATAGCTGCACAACCTTCTAGTTGCTGTATGTGGGACGTGGCCTCAGCATGGCCGGAGAAGCAGTGTGTCGGTGCGCGCCCGGGATCCAAACCCGGGCCGCCAGCAGCAGAGTGCGCGCACTTAACTGCTAAGCCACGGGGCCGGCCCTATGGGCTTATTTCCCACAAAGAAAGTAAACCTCTTTAATCTAAAAGGTCTAAGAAATAAAACGGTCTCATCTACAATAATGAAAGTTAAATGTGAATGTTAAATGTGAATGTTAAAATGATTCACTTTAAAAGTGTGTCTAATGTTTCATTATAATCATCGGGGGGGGGCTTTATAAAGACCAATTAAAACATAATTTCTGAAGGTGGGGCCTGGACACCACTATTTTTTAAAAGCTTTACAGGTGGTTCCAAAGTTCAGCCAAGGCTGAGAGCCACTGTACTACTTAAATGATCTTAAAGAAGTGGCTCGGCTTATCTTTAGCATCAGTCTCATCTGTAAAGTAAGAGGGACTGAAATAGATGATCTCTATGGTCTCTTCAATTACTAAAATTATGTGACAATGGGCTCATCATGAAGTTAGAAACGAAGTCTAATCAATTTCTGAAACTGATCAGAAAGTAGGGTGGCATATGAGTAAAAAAGGCAAGCAGACATAATGGAACTAGTTTCATTACTTTAAAGGTACAAGAATCAAGGGGGAAAATTCCATTTCCCAGGATACTTCTGAAAATTGTCTAAGTAGTTCGGAGTTTTATGAAAAGCTCCGTGAAAATCTGTCTGACAGAAAGGCATACAAAGAGAGGGTTCCTTTGCACAATTAAAAAGTGATGGCATATTCTTCCAAATAAAAAGAGATAGTAACGTTTATACAGCTTCAAGTACATTAACATACACAATTTCACATAGTCCTCAAAACTCGGGGACAAATGAGAGTACCATCTACTCAATTTTGTAGATGAGGCAACAGAAATAAAGAGGTTAAATTTCTTCCCCACATCCCATTGCTACTAAGTAGTAGCTGAAACCTAAAACCAGCTCTTGTGACTCCAAGCTTTAGAACAGGGTATTTTGCAAATACCATCCACATAAATCACCCTTTCTACACTGAACTTCCTGAAATAGGTCAGTAGCATCACTGCTATTTTGATGTTCCTCCAAGTGGAAAGCCATTACAAAAATCTTAACCCACTATTTTCTGCTGCTCTGAATTTCAAAAGTAAGACTAACAAGTGACAACTTTTTAAAAAAGCACTCAGAAAATCTGATCTCAACGTCAGTAAACTGAGGATATGAATTCCATGCCTTTATCCAATTTAGTATACTGCTGCTTCATCAGATGGTAAACTATGTTAGTGTGGTTCAAAACAAAATAGTACAAGAAGTCCACAACTTCTCTAACAACTCTACGGTTCGTCCCTGCTTTAAACAACATTTATGACAGTTCTGATTTTACCTATACATTCAGTTAGTACCTTATAAGAGTGGGAAATAAAAGATACTACCTAAATTTCTGAGCTAAAGTAACCTTTAAAGACCATCTAGTTAAACCCGTATATAGCTATTAGCACAGAGATTCTCAAGGTGTGTGTGGTCCAGGGAGCCCTACCAGGTTGTCTGCAAGATCAAAACACATTATTTGTCTTTTTCCACTCTCATTTTCTCACAACTATACAGTTGAGTTTTCCAAAGGATACAGAGCACGTGAAATCACAAAAGGCTGAATGCAGAAGCAGATGAGAATCCAGGTGTTTTCTATTAAGCCAAATATTAAAGAGATTTGAAAAACAAGTAAAACAATGTCGATCTTCTCACTGCTTTTTGTTGTTGTTGTTTTGGAAAATAATTTTTCACACCAAAATATATTGATTATAACATTTAATGGGTTTATTATTTTAAATGAACATTTAAAAAATTTCTGAGTTTTAATTTCTAGTATGGTAAATATCAATAAATACAAGCACAGAGACAAAAGTTATTTTGGAGTCCTCAATAATTTTTAGCCTTGAGAACAAAGTTTGAGAACTGCTATCTTACATGCTAAATGACTTGCCCGAAGTCGACTGAGTGGTAGCAGAGCGCGGTTAGAGACCTCTGTGGTGAATGACAAATTTCCTTTTGCACTTTTTTGTTTAGAGATGGCGAAGAGATGCAATATTTGCAACTGTGATTACTTGGCGAAAAAATCACAAATGAATTACAGACCGCATGTGTCACTCTGAGTGAATTCAGTTCTCAGAACAGTACATAGTGGTTTAGCACAGAGGGGTACTCAATTATCACTTGCTGAATGAGTAAATTAATATAGCACAGAAATATGTGAAGAGAAAAAGAATTAAACAAAATAAATATATGAACCAAAAGGTAAAAGAAACAAGCAGGAATCTCATTCCTTGACAGGTCAGAATGAGCAAGGCAATTAAGACAGATTTAATTGACATATATATAGTTTCTGTCTAATAGAAACCATATTTTTAATTCCAGCACAAAATATATATATTTAAAAGTTTAGGCCAGTTTATTTCCATTCACACAAACAGGCCCAATTCTCTATCATCTTAAAACAAAAAACTTCACAATCCCTTGTCTCCTGCTAGCTACATTCTCTTCTCCTTAGTCTCAAGCATTTTTCCAAAAATTAACTACACATTGTCTTTACTTACTTGTAACCTCACATCTATTTTCTCAAGAGTGCAATACAGCGCTTATAAATGGAAGCATGGACTTTATTCACATTTTGCTGCTTATTTTCTCCAGTAGTGCCAACTCCCACAATTCCAGTAAGATGGCTCTTACCAGTATCATTGAATTCAGCAATATCATATCAGACACTTCTTAGTCCTTCCCTATCTTATTTGACCTCTCTCTGTCACATTTGACAGTACTGACTGTCTCTCCTTTTCACACTGTCTTCCTTTGGCTTCCATATGGCCACACTTTTCTGGCTTTCCTCCTATTTCTCTGCTCACACCTTTGTGAAATCCTCTTCCTTGGCCAGCCCTTTAAATGTTAGTCAGAGTTATGCCCAAGGCTGCCTTTTCTTCTACATAAACTTCCAGGATAATCCATCTCATCTACTCGTAGTTTTAATAACCATCCAGATGTCATCTGTACCTCTACCCCAGCTCTCTCCTGACCTTCAGTAATGCATACCCAACTCTCTACTGGACACCTTCACTGGATGTCCCATAGGTACTTCAACCATAATGTATTTGCTAAAGGATCCCTTCTAGACTAGTTTGTCTAAATCTTCCCTTCTCCAATCAAATTGAACATACTTTAAAACAGCTTATAAAGAAAGGCCTTCTTTCTGGATACTGCAAAGAAATAAGAGGCAGCAACCCTGCAGATGGTTTCTTTTGGGAAGGTCATGACTGGCAATGGATGTAGTCACGACTCCTCTAACTGTTGAGCCTCGTGCCAGCGTTCCCGTTCCAATAAGTCATCTCAACAGGACGGATCTAAACTGAGCACTACAGTCCTGGTAAATAACCAGGGCTATCATATCCAAGGCTAATAAACAAGAAGCAGGGACTAAACTTTCCTTTTGTTGCTTATTTCCCCCTAGATAAAGAACAGGAGTTCAACATCCAACTCAACTCAAGATAAAGTACAGTAACACTCAAGAAATCAAATTTTTTCCAAGCCTAATACTTCTTTCTTATGAAATTGTGAACTCTAAAAAAAAAAAAATACTCAATATCTAATATTAAACACAGTTGACATGGCTGGTTTATAAGGCCATTGCTTCTGTCTTGCTCTCTTGGATCACTCACATTGGGAGAATCCAGCTGCCATGTCATAGGACATTCAAGCAGCCTGGCAAGAGGAATATATGTGGAGGAACTGAGGCCTCCAGTCAACAACCAGTACCAAGTTGCTAGCCATGCGATGAAGTCACTTTTGTAGAGAATTCTCCAGCCACAGTCAAGCCTTCAGATAACTGGAGCCCTGAATGCAACCTCATGAGAAACCCTGATTAAGAACCACAGAGCTAAGCCATCCATGAATTCCTGACTCACAGAAACTATGAAATAATATATGTTTATCATTGGTTTTTTTTGGTGAGGAAGATTAGCCCTGAGCTAACATCTATTCCAATCCTCCTCGTTTTGCTGAGGAAGACTGGCCCTAAGCTAATACCTGTGCCCATCTTCCTCTATTTTGTATATGTCATGCTGCCACAGCATGGCTTGATAAGCAGTGTGTAGGTCTGCACTCGGGATCCCAACCTGAGACCCCCGGGCAGCCGAAGCACAGTGCGTGACCTTAACCACTACGCCACCAGGCCAGCCCCTGTTTATCACTGTTTTAAGCCACTAAGTTTCAGGCACTTTGTTACGCAGTAATAGGTAACTAGTACATAGGTAGATATTATTATTACCATCATTTTCTGATGGAGACACAAAAGCATAGAAATAGAAAAGTTAAGTACACAGGCTCTGGAGGCCAACTGCCCAAATTTGAATCCAGGTTAGTTACTCATACACAAGTTGATATCTGAGAACAAACACCATTGATATTTGTGAGCACTGATGCAAGTGTTTTTGAGGCAATCTGCCAGCCTTTGATCCAATAATTCCACATCTAGAAATCAATGCTAGAGAGAAACTCTCACAAATACTTCAAAGA